CTATTGTCATTTCAAATCCAGGATGATTCCTCGCGAAGTTGCGAAAATAGTCCTTAGCTCTGCCGTGCCTTGCTCTGTGGTTATACCACAGATTTTCAGTCCAGACTTTCTCGAGAACTTCATATTTATAGTAAAGGTCTTCTTCTTCAAAGTACGAGGCCATGTCGCATCAATTTCAGAGAAATTCAATACAACTGCTTTAATTTCCAAGAAATCTGTAGCTAGAACCTCCCTTTCAATGGTTCAGTGAAATAAAAACAATACCTGTAGTTGCAGTGTCAACAAGCAACCGTGAACCATCTGCGCATGCGCCCTTGGCTTTTATTTTCTTCATGTGCCTCGGGAGTTTGGGGCTTATTTTTTATTCCTGTGGCATGTCTTGCCCTGTGTTTATACCATAGATGTCCAGACCAGACTTTCTCGAGAACTTCGTATTTATAGTAAAGGTCTTCTTCTTCAAAGTACGAGGCCATGTTGAAAGTAAAATAGACAAGCGGATATTATTTCCGATAATTTCACTCAACTGATTTCCAAGAAATCTAGGATTCTCTTATTTCAGTTGCAGTTCAAATAAACTTGAGCCAGACAACGAGGTCTGTCTGTGAATACATAAGTATTTTTTCACCTTCGTGATGTTGCTCGGATACCCAAATATTTTCTGTAACGGTTGTTGTTCATGAATTCATTTCGACTACTGCCACTCTTTCCTTAGCCTGCGTCACATCCGGAATTTTCTTCGTAAATACCGTCAGACGGTATTTACGAAGAAAATTCCGGATGTGACGCAGGCTACTCTTTCCCGTGTGGGTTCATTCCCTTATCTAAGTACTATATACAGCTATTTCAAAAATGGTTGTTGAATGTTTTGTCTTTCCCTTGGCAAATAAAATAAAGACATTTTCAGTCAGCATCATATTAATGGCGAAAATTTCACTCAACCACTTTCCAAGAAATATATCTAAAATCTTACTTTGAATATAAACAACTTTGACAGCTGCCAGGCATCAATAAGATGCAGTAAAGTGAATAATTAACCAGTCGTAAAACATGTGTTAAGYAAACAACCTCTGTTAAGGTATCAGGGTACCCCAAAATTGCTCAAAAGTATCGATTTTTACATTTTTACATTTTGCGATAAAAAATATATAATATTCTTCGATTTTCTTCCAAAAAAATTCGATAGTGATTTTAATAGCGAGTAATAAAAAAATACGGTTTGTGACAACAATATGGGGTGCCGTTTGTGTCAATAATACTTACGTGTTTTATTTATACTTAATGTCGTATTATATTAAACTTTCAACACCAAATATAATATATCATGTGTTTTATAAAACTTCCGAAGTGAAACATATAACTTCTTCAGCAAAATATATAACTTCCTATCCTTTATAAAACTTCGCTACTCATGTAAAACTTCCAAAGGAAAATATAAAACTTCACGTTTTTTATAAAACTTCTTGTTGACGACAACTCTATTGGCCAGCGGTTGTTGCTGGGGCGCCACGTGAACGCGTAATTCGATACTAGCACTCCCTTATAATTCTGGTTGTAAGTAGTCATGGCGGATGAAAAACAAGAATCGATACTTAAACGATTGGCAGAGCTTATCAACAAGAGCTCAAAACAAGACAGTGAAAGTCAATCGAGTAGTCAAGAAGTGCCTGAAAATAATTTGCAGCGGCTGTTTCCTAGCATAAGAAGGTCTACACCATTGCCATCATCGTTCCAGGAGTCAAGAGTGAAAACAAGTACGGCGTTTAATCCACGTGCTAAAAAAAA